TATTGGGTCACTCACAAGGGGGCAGTCCTTCTTAGGTACATTTTCACCTTGCTGTTTCAGTTGGCACCTCAGCAAAAACACTGCCTTTGGGGCTTATGACTCAGGAAAAGGGATGCTGGCTGATGAGAAATGTTTATTTGAGAGGGAGGGAGGGGGAAGGGGGAAATACTTCCCTAGCATGTCTCTTTCTTATTTTCTTTATTTTAGGACAGGTAAATCTGAACATATTTTGCATCTTATAAAACAATACACTCACAAAATTTTGTTCTGGGAGGGTGCAAAACATATCTAGCAAGCTTTCAGGATCAGTTCACCCAGCTGCCCTGCTGGGTACCACAGACCAAAAAGTAATCTGTTTAAAAACAGGCAGCATTTCCTTCAAACCTTGGTAAGGAACGGCCTACTGAGCTGAGCCCTTTCAATGAATCTCAAGATTCTCATGATCAAGCTGGAATCTAGGTTTTTATTTCGCTCCCAGTATACTCACAGCCTAGGAGGATGGGGTTTTCTTGGTCTGGTGTATCTCAGGTGCTTTGCAACTGCAGGTGCTCAATAAAGGGTCTATGAAAGCTGGGGTGCTTTCAGGCCAAAGGAGTTCTTCTCTGAAAATTCCCCAAACTGTACCAGCCACGGAGCTCCTATTTCCTTCCAGCTCCCTTTAGTAAAAGATATAACTTTGAGCCTCCTGAGCCAACCCCAGATTCCTCAACCACGTGCTGTAGCGCACTCCTGCTTGCAGATTTCAAGGCAAGAAGATGAAGGAACGGTGTTGTAGTAAACCATAGTAAAGAGAGGAGGGAAACAAAATGGGGCATGTCACATGGTCACGGCCTGAATTTTTCTCAATTAAAAATAAGAGGAAGTGTGTGTTTCCGGCCTCTGTCAGCAGGCTGCTTGGACTTTTTCATTCTTAGGATTCTGCTCTAGATGAACAAATAAGGCTGAGCAGCATAACATCCTCTTGTGTGTGTGTGTGTGGGGGGGGAGTTGGGAGGGGGTTGGGTGAATATTTGGCTGAGCACTGCCAGTGCTAGAGGAAGGGATGGAGGGAGAGGGGAGACAGGGCTCAGGGAGGACTTGTCCCTGGCTGTCGCTGACCAAAGCCCCCGCTGGCCCCTCGGCTCTTCCCCTCGCACAGGCCACGCCCCCTCCCGCCCAGAGCTCGACCATGTCTCTCGCGGATTGGCTACGATGGAGGCCAATCAGCACCCCGCCACCCCGCCCGCCCCGCCCAGGGCCAGACGCTGCTCTGGCACAGGAGGGGTGGGAGTGAGCCTGCCACCGTCTACCAAGCTGCCTAGGAAGGGGCCCTGCAGCCCCCAGACCCAGAGACAGGCAGAGGCGGAAGGCTGGAGGGTGGCCTCGCCGCATCTTCCCCCCACCCTGGCAAAACTGGAGGCCAAGTGCCAAATAAAAAAGGGAGGAATGCAGGAAGCAGAGGTGACCCCAGAAAAAGGAAAGTGCCAGTACTGAGAGGGTTTGCTCTGCCTCTGAAGGCCACACAGCAAAGAGAAGAGGGGAGAGAGAGCCGAGACCTGAGGAGGTAGTCATGGAGGTCCGGAATCCTTGAAGTCACCGAAAGGAAAAATAGTGAAAGGAAGAGAAATGGCGAAATTCTTTTTTTAAGGGGGAAGGAGCTTAAAAGGATGACGAAAAGCAAAAACTGAACCTCAGAGGTCTGGCCCAGGTCTTGAGAAAGCCTGCTTTATCTGGCCAGTTGCAGTTTTAAAACCAAAAGACAAATCTGAGGTAAATGCTGTTTGAAAGTTGCAGGGCCCATGCTATCCTAAGGCTGAGAAGTCCTGTTTGTCCTCCTTGAGATCTCAATTTACCCCCTGCAGAGAGCAGGCCACTAGTACTGTACAGCGAAATTCTGAAAAGGAGAAAAACAAGGGCAATGTCAGCAGTAAGAAATAAGAGGTGGGAAACAAAGGAAATGGGAGGGGAGTAGTGCTGGAAACCACCTAGCAGGTCGGAATTAAGTTGGGGGGAGAGACAGATGACAGAGAACCAAGAAAAGGTTGTTGGATACAAGTCCTGAGCACCTGAGCTAAAGGCTAGACAGACGTTCTCCTTTAATGGACACTGAGAAATAGGAGACAAACCGAGATGTTTACAAGAGGTTGCCAGGAGAAAGTGCCCGCCCTCATCTCAACCCCATTCTCTTCATTATGCTGCACTTTTACCTGAGAAATGGGAAAAAGGCAAATAGAGCAATTGCGGAGGAAGTTAGAAAAACAGTTTTCTCAAACTAACATGGGCATTCTGATCAGAAGCTGTTTGCCTTTGATAGGTCTGCTCTGTTCAGACGACAATTAACTATCAATAACATCTTTAAACTCAACAGGGCAAAGGCGAGCAAACAGGATGGAGGATGTGGATGTAGCTGGTAGTATTTGGTGCCCCACTTAAAAAACACGTTTGTATCTTAAAAACATAGACTGTAGAATTTTTCTGGCATGGTGCAGTTAAAGCAGGGTCCACAGTTTACCCCCTACATTCAGTGCAAACCAAAACAAAATATATGATTTTTCTAGAATATTATATTTTCCCTAAGAAAGTCAAAAACAGAACACTGGGAGGTTGTTTTGTTATTTATTTTTGGTTTTGTTTTTTAGTGTATCTGCTACATAAAGAGGATTTTATTTTAAAAAGCTTTTTAAAAATGAAAATTCTATATGGTTTGTTTGTTCAGGACAAACATTATTTATTCTACTCTATAAAGGAAACCTATACAAATTAAGAAAATGGGTGAGAAAAACACTGTTCCTTAGTCTTTTCTTTCTTCTGCTTTAAAATCAAAATTTAGGTTCTGGGTAAGTTCTCATTATATAAATGAGGCACTTTACAATAGGAATGGTTAAAGTGTTATAGGGATTCTGGTACCCAAAAACATCATTTGAAATAATCAAAATTTTTACACTGGCAACTAAATCTCTCTTTAGTGAATGATGAAAAAAGTACTGAAATAAGTACTGATCAAATAAATGCTTTTCATAACATAACACCTAAATTCTTAGTTTGAACATTCAAATACCTGTGTCTTCTATAAAACAGAGAATGATATGGGTTAGGTGTTGGGACACAGAATGAAGAAGGGGACCACATAATTCACAAATACTAGTGATAGGAACCCCAAAGCACAAATTAACTTTTGTGAACAGATACCTATTAAGAAGAATAAATGCTTTTAAAAGCTCACTCTGTAAGCATTTATAAAATTCACAAGATAATCATTTTGTCAGAATAAAGTGTTTCCAAATGCTGAAACTTCTGCTTTGCCAACTCATCACATTATTTGCAAACTATACTCCTCTCTTCTACCCACAGTTATGACCACCAGAAAACAGATTCACAGAATGAAGGGCAGGCTAATTTCCTATTACAAATGTTTTTCATTTTCAATACAGCCTTAGCCACAGAAGACTTAAAGCCAACTTTCAACATTTCTGAGGCATCTACTCTTGAACTGAAAAAACAAATATTCTAAGAGCAAAGAGTACACAGTTTAGCCCTTACATTCAGTGCAAACCAAAACAAAACAACTTCCTTTTCCCAGACCTAATGTATCTTCTCTTCACCATAAAAATGTTAAGTAATTTTACAGAGGATGTACAGTAGCCCCCAAGTGATAAATGTGAAGGTTCCGCGCAAGAAGAGACAACTGCTAGGCAGACATGCAGCCATGAACTTCCATAACTCTTAACTCATAATGGGTCCCAGGCGCATACAGTTTATTGCATATCCTGTATAAAAGCGGCCATGCCTGTGAGATGGGTGGTTGTGTGAAAAATATTTCACGACTCCTGGTACAGGAACAAAAAGAAAATGCCACCCATAATCACCTTCTCAAGAGATCATAGGCAGATAAGTACTTCTCTCTGAATATGTATGACTAAAGTGCTTTTACTCCTGAGTCTTTTTAGGACAACATGAATAAAAATTGATGCTTCCTGTTGCTGTTTATGTTGCATTGGTATTGTGAAATCACAGAACAAAAGTGCACACAGCAACTCAGTAAGATCACCCTTCAGAGCTCTGAGAACTATCTTTAGTGAAGAGCTGAGCTTCTGTGTGAACAAGTATTTTTGTAGAATTGTCCCAATGAGGGCTGACCTTAATAAAACGGTCAAAAGAAAACTTCAATAGAAAGATAAAGTTTCTCATATATGAACTTCACAAACCTCAGAACTGGTATTATAGCATATGAGTTTTTAAAATACTACAGTATGTTATTTCACTTGGGAATTCTCAAATGAAAAAGCCCTCCTGTGGCTGCTCACACAGTTGATTATCTGCCAAGAGTCATTGTGAGGTGAGCATCCATATGTCCTGACCCACCCACCAACTCTCAGTTAAGTGCATTCTCCCTATGGGAGCAGCGGGAAGGAGCACAAGGAGCAGAGGCAAAGAACAGAAATCTAGCACAAGATTAAAAGCAGTTTTGTCTTCTGAATCTGACACCATGAAACGCACCTGCTGTGACGTCCAGTTGAGCTACTGGCGGTTCTCTGGCTGCTTCTGGAAACTGATGCTGGCATAGGTGCTTAAATCCTCGCTGGAGCGGCTGGTGGAGCTGCTCTCACTACTGCCCAGGGGCTGATGGGGGGGTGGAGGTGGGGGAGGCTGCGGTTGAGGGGGGCGCTCCTGAGGGCGCTGTTTGAAGTCCTTGACCAAATCCAGGTCTATGTAGTTAAGACCATTCTCCAAACCCCCAGCAGCTCCACACCCTTGGGCCACCTCCTTGGGGGCTCCGCCAAGCTCCCCAGGTCTCAGCCAGACATTCTCAAAGGAAGCAGAGCTGTGGCGTTTGACATCCTCACTGCTGTTGCTGCCACCACTGCCACTGCCCCCTACTGTAGCCCCTCCTCCAAAGGGCACCGTGTTGGCCCCCCTGGAAGCAGTAGGTGTTGAGGAAAAGGTCTCTGAGCTATGCCTCCTCCGGCACCCTTGTGGATCTGCACGGATCACTTTGGCACTCTGGTTGCGGTTGGGACTGAGGCTTACCCGGGTGAAGGCGCTAATGCCCCCAGGTCCCTGTGGGCCCCCCAAAAGGGAAGAGTGGGCAGGAAGCTCAGCTGCTCCTTGAGGTGCAGCAGGGGAAGAAGAGGCTGTGGAGGCTGAAGGAGGAGCAGCCGCTGAGGCCCTGGGCAGTTTCACCTCCTCTGCAGCAATGCCTGTCCGCATGTCAGCGTAGCTGACAGGGGCAACTGGTGAGGTGTCCACGTAGCTCTGACGGGGACAACCCATCTGCATGGTCATGTAGTCACCCCGGCTGCTGGGCACTGCCCGGGTAGGCCTGCAAATGCTAGTAGTCCCTGGAGGTGCAGGGCCCACTCTGCCCATCTCCCCACCACTGCTCTCCTGCCAGGTTGCCCTCCGGCCGGGCCCCAAGTCCATGTTCATGTACTCCTCAGTGCCAGTCTCGTCCTCTCTGGGAGCTGGCTGGATCTGGGATGGACACCGAACAGAAGGTGAGCTGCGGGAAGTCATAGGGCCAGATAAGTAGCCAGGCTGGTCATTCCCAAATTCAATATTCACATATTCCCCTGGGCTTTTGGGCTCCGGAGGGTGCAGTAGGGGCTGCTGCTGTTGCTGTTCTCGAGCCCGAGGCAAGGTGCTGGCCTTGGGATCCCCCAAAGATAGCCTTGTGGGCCGAGCCAGGCGGCTGTTGGTCTGAGCAGCTGTGTCCACTTTTCGAGGCAAATGGGGCTGCAAGACATGATGGTGGGGATGTGGGAGGCCAGGCTCTGGCCTAGCCCCACAGTAACCCCCACCCAGGCTGTCGCTGCTGGTGGAGGAAGAAGAATCTTCTGCAGTTGCAGTGTAGAGAAGGCGACCAGAGCTAGAGGAGAGGCGGAGATGCTGGTGCCGGGCACCCTCCTCTGGCTCCCCAGGGCGCTGGGTGTGCTTAAAAGACCTTGGCAATGAATAGTAGGAAAGGACTGGCTTGTGCTGGGGATCCTCAGGGCCATAGTAGCAGTCAGAGGGGCTGCTGGTGTTGGAGTCCCCCACTGGTGACATGTTCATGTAGTCACCTGTACAAGGCAAGAGCTTGCCACCCCCACTCTCCACAGGGGGCTTGGGGTGAGACAGGGCATGAGAGTGGTGCCCACCAACCCCATTTGTCCATAGCTTCCCATAGCTACTGCCAGAAGGGGCGGCACTGATGCTGCTGCTGCTGCTGGACCCACCTCCAATGTCAGGGGAGCAGCTGCCACTGGGGGACATCATCATGTAGCCATTGGGGTCCACTCTCTGGGGATGACGTCTGATGGGGTTGATGATCTGCTGCGGGGCAGACACGCTCTTGGGGCTCATGGGCATATAATCCCCACTGCCCTTCCGGCTATTGGGCACTGGGGCCACCCCTGGGGACATGGGCATGTACCCATCATCAGTGTGGAGGGTAGAACTATCTGGGCGATGATGGCTGCTGCGGTGCTCCAAGGCATGCATCTCTAGACCCTCCTCAGGGTAGGAATGGGTGGGCACGAAGGCAGAGTGCCTGTAGCCAGGCAGTCGGCCTCCACTGCCACCTCCTGGTGGATAGGCAGGCATCATCTCTGTATACTCCTCAATGGAAGCCACTGAGGACTGGGATGGGGTCTTCTGGTGGGAAATGGTAGGGGATGTCCCTGCAGAGTGAGTTCTCTTCCGGAACCTATTATCCAGATCAGCAGCACTGGCAGCTTCATCCCCAGTCAACAACGCTGGGCTGGTGCCCAGGCCAGCTCCTGGGATGTACCGGTGGCCATTACCACCTCGGGACAAAATGTAATGACCATTGGGAGCTGTTAGAGTGGAGGCCCCCTTTCCACCCATGCATATATAATTGCTCAGCTCCTCCTCGCCTCGGGCTGGTGGGGTGTGGCCCAAGGAATCCGGAGTGACACTGCGGAAGGAACTTCGGAAGTCGCAGGGACTAGAGCCATACTCATCCGAAGAGATGAAACCGCCATCACTGGGGGAACCAGACACGGAAGCACTAGACCGCCTTGGAAAGAGACAGTCCGAAGTAGAACCATGGCCACTGGTGCTGCTGGATGATAGACTAACTGGGCTGGTTGCCGAAGGCGAGCAGCGAGAAGAAGGCATGGGGATGGAGCGACTGTGGTTGAGAGGCGGATGCAGCCGGGAGCTGCCCCGATGCCGGTGGGCGTGGGTTCTGTTGGTGCTAGGACTCACAGGGCTGCCATCCACAGAGGCTGGGCGGGACATGGTGCCTTCACCATCGCTGGAGGCGCGCACACGGAAGGATCCTGGCTTCCCACCTACCATACTGGCAGGGGAGGTGGCAGTGATGCTCTCAGTGCGTGATCTGCGGGTCAACCCCACCTGGCTGGGCGGGGGGTTGTTGAGATGGTGCCTGCGCAAGGGGACACTGATGGGGTTGGAGCAGTTGGATGAGGACTGGCTCTTGCTTCGAGGGCGAAACTCATCACTCATGGCCCGCATGGCCTCCAAGATAGTCTCATGCATGTTCTGGGCCACCACCGAGTCATCCACCTGCATCCAGAACTCCCCAGGCCCTGTCACAGCAGAACGGCCCACCTCAATGAAAAAGAAGTTTTCAGAGTGGCCGCAGCGTCTGATGTTCATTAGCTGTAGCACCACAGCCGCTGCCTCTGAGTTCAGCTTCACAAAGCTAATGGTCTTGCTGGTCAGGCAGAGGCGGTAGATGCCAATCAGGTTCTTTGTCTGACCCAGGCCCTTGGGCTTCAAGATCACCTGCCAGACCTCCTTAAACGCAGGTCCTGGGGGCCCATCTCCATAGCTCAAGTCCTCTCCAGCCTCCCCGAGGCCCAAGCTGCCACTGCAGCTACCACTGCCTCCTGCTCCAGGGGCTGAGGCCCCTTCGTGGTGGTGGCTTTTGGCACGGTTGTGCAGCTGCAGGAGAGCCTGGTACCAGCTGTCTTGCTCAGCCTCACTGTCCGCAGCAATGGCAAAGTGCTCGTCCCGGGTATAGAGAGCCACCAGGTGCTTGTTCTTGGAGTCAGCACGTTTGTTGATGTTGAAGCAGCTCTCGAGGGGGATCGAGCGTTTGGGGGCGCTCGACTTGTGCCTCCACTTCTTCTCGTTCTCGTAGTACTCCAAGCGCGCGGGGCCCCCGGCCTCGCTGGCCGCCCGCAGCACGAAGAAGCGCTTGTGCATGCTCTTGGGCTTGCGCAGGTAGCCCACCTTGCGCACGTCCGAGAAACCTTCGGTATCTGGAGGACTCGCCATGCTGCCGCCACCGCCACAGCCGCTGAGCAAAAGGAGGCGCCGAAAAAACAACTAGTTGGGGGGCGGAGGCTCCTCACCGCGGCCCCGCACATGCAAACAAGGCTGAAGGCTGAAGAAACCCCGACTCCTAAATCCACGCTGCCCCCTGCAGTGGGGAGGGGTAGCAAAGAAGGACGCAGTGGCTGCGCCAAGGAAGAGAGCCGACTGGAGTTTATGGGCGTTTTATGCCCAGAGGGGAGGCAATGCGTCCGGGGTGAATGCGGCCACGATCTTCCCGAAAGCCAAGTGTCCCCTCAACCACTGCAGCCAGGAAGGAGCTAAGATGCATCTCTAGCCGCCTCAGCTTAAGTCCGGCGCAGGAAGGCAGCGGCGGCCAGCGGGTCCCTGTGGTGTCCCTGTGGTGCCCCTGCAGGCGCGCACGCCTTCCCTCCTGAGTTCCTCTCTGGAAGTAGCGATTCACGAGGCAAATTAAATATCCTTGGGCAGGGGGAGGCGGGCTGCCAAGTCCCAACGTTGCACGGGGTTCTCCCTCCTCCTCCTTCGCCTCCTCCTTCGCCTCCTCCCACCCCCCCAACCGTCCCCGCCGCCACCAGCCGCCCAAATACCAGCTCAATCGCAGAGACCGCGGCGCTGCGGCTGTTGCTGCTGCTGCTGCTGCCGCCGCCCGCGGACGCGTCCTCCGCAGCCCTCATTCGAGCCCATCTCGGCGGGCGGGGAAAGTGGCTTTTCCACGCGAAACGCTACTGGGCAGACGCGGGAGCCGGAGACGGTCCAGAGGGACAAGCTCATCCCTGCCCCTCGCTCCAGTCGGCAAGGGAGGAGGGGAGGGGACTAGGGAGGGAGGCAGAGGGGGAGGTTTGGGAAGGATTGGGGAAGACGCCTGTTCCCCGGGAGGCACTGCCGCTGCAGTTACTTCTCCCTCCCTCCTCCTCCTCCTCGGAGAGTTGCCGAGAGCCCCAACCAAAACAAGCGGCGGCGTCTGGCTCTGCGCGCCGGCCCCCTCCGACCGCGCCGCCGTCTCACTCGGAGGAGAAAAACACGTGACGGAGTCTCCGCGCTCGGCAGCCGGGCAGCCGCCGGGAGGCTCCCGCCCGGGTCTCTACACATTCCGGGCCGAGCCCGCCCCGCGCCCGCCCCTCTCCGCCCCCCGGCCGTGCCGCAGCGGCGCCGCGCCGGGCCTCTGCGCTGCGCTCGGGCAGCGCCCCTCCGCGGCCGTCCGCCGGGGCGCAGCACCTAGCTGCCCTCGCACCACCTAGGGCGCCCCCGGCCCGCAGGAATCCCCGCGGCCGGCGCTCGCGGGGGTGTTTGGGTGGCTACCCGAAAACACGAGGGGAGTCTGGGAAAACGGGAGGGGGCGAGCTCGGGAAGACGCAGGAGTGAGGGTGGGGGGTGACGGGGGGGGGCACTGCGGCTGCGGAGCCCGGCGTGGGAGGGCCGGGGAGGAGGGGGGCCCCGGAGCTGGGCTAGATCTTACCTAACAGGTAAGAGGACCCCTCGGGTAGAGGTTTCTAGTCAAGGTTTTTCCTCCCCGGAAATAAAAAGGTATATTTCGGCTTCAGGGGGGATAGGCCGTGGTAAGCAGATCTAGCTTTTTGTAAGGTTTTCTAAGGGACTTCAGGGCTAGCCTTCCACCTTGGAGTCCCCAGATTTGCTGCCTCCAGGTACCTTGTAGGAAGAGGGATGCCCAAGGGCAGTGATTGGGGGGTTAAGGTCACTCCAGAGAACAGGAATTTCCCGGCAAGCGCCTCACGTCTGGCACTGTGGCTTTAGCTGCTGTTCAATTAGGGAGAACATGTAAATATCACAATTTCTCCCTCTTCCCCTGTCGTTCTAGAAAACAGGGAGTCACACGTAGGGGTAAGGGCAAATGAGATACTCCTCATCATAATCCCAAGTCAATTTTATTTTAAAAGGATGCTAGGGACCTACGAGGGTTCACAAGGCCAAAACCCTACTGTGCAAATATTGGTTGAAATGTTTGTTTCACACACAGCTTCCACACCCATTGAACCACCCTATAAATTTTTAACCTTGACCACAAGGATAAGCGGGAGAAAACAAGGATAGTGCCAGCTCAACTGTACAGGAAAATGAGTACTTCATGAGTTAGAACAGGTCAGCAGCCTGGGTCTAGTTGCACAGCCTCTTGCTTGGTTACCTTGCGGTATTTGTCTCACCACAAGCAAAAGCTCCCCAAAGTTTTTTGGTTTGGGGGGTTATTTTTTTAAGGTGACCTATAAACAAGCAGATTGTCCCTGCTTTCCCAGCTGGTATTAAAGACCTACAGAGATGACGCGTGTCGCTGGGTTTAATGGTATTTTGTTTTCCAACTCCAGTCCTGGCCTGTTTGGGGTTTCCGCCCCCTTTCTGCTCCAGGAACCCACCTCAGCCTCTTGCTTAAGCACTGCAGGATGCTCGCGGGGAAACGCAGCAGTCCACTAGCTGGGCATGCTCAATGGCCAGGACTGTCTGGGTCTCCGGGGAGGGTGCCTTGGCCTAATGCGGGGTGAGAGGCGGGGCGAATTTCCTGTGGAAGCCTGCTGATTGGTGAAGCTGCCTGTCTTTCAAACCCTGCACTGCAGCGGTGGTGGGGAGGACCGCGAGGGTACCAAGGTAGGTTGCAAAGCGTAGTTTAAAAAAAAAAAAGAAGAAGAAGAACAAGGAGACCCTAGGCGCCATTCATTGGCTTGCAATACGTGAGCTGGGGGGTCCAGCATCTATAGAGGGGCTTCTCCCCACCGAAGCCAAGAAGCCTCTCATTTCTCCGCTCACCTTCGTGTTCCTTGCCACCATGCAGCTTCTTCTAAAGCTGGTTAAAGTATGATTGGAGTACACATGTTGAATTTAAAGCCCTCCCTTCTTTTACTCTGACAGCTTGGTGATGTGGGCACACGTGCCCACTACAGAAAGGCTATAAATAGCAGACAATTTGGAAATGGTAACCAGGCGGCAATAACAGGGATTGAAATTCTGGGTTTAGAAAGTGCTTTATGCGGGGAGGGTAGAAGAGGAGTCTGCGAAATACAGAAGCCTGAAGTAGTACAGAAGTGTAACCGTGTAGGAGGTTTTACCCTAGGCAAGAAAAAAAGAGTCTAGGTAAGGCCAAAGGACTTTTCGCAGGTTTGATGTTTAGCGCTGGAGGGGGCACGTGTTTCACATTTTGTAGGAAAACAATTCAAATCCATAGACGTTTATTTTCTGAATAACCTCCGCCCTACTACCGCCCTACCCCAAGTCTAAATAAAGGGGATGTACTTCTAAGGGAGGAAGGGAGACCTTGAAAGCCTATTTAATTTTCAAATATTACAGTTAATCTTAACAGGATGGTTAAGATTGTGATCATATAATACTATTATAAAAGCTTTAAAAAATATGTCTCTCAGTAGTAAGGGATTTCTGTTTTAAAAAACATAATTTATGGGCTGGGATTGTGGCTCCACGTAGAGCGCTTACCTAGCACATGTGAAGCGCTGGGTTCGATCCTCAGCACCACATAAAAATAAATAAAATAAAGGTGTACAAATGCAACTAATTTTTTTAAAAAAAAACATAATTCATGTGGCTAAAATATTTCAAAGAAATCATGAAATAAACCAAATTGCTGTGACAATTTCTGTTCAGACCAATGAACTTCATATGGAAAACAATCACTGAAAATAGGGTTTTTGCAATTTTTTCAATTTGCTAATGTTTTACTACCAATGTTAAAGGTGATTAATATTTATTAAATTATAGTATAGTAAGTTCAATTGTTCTCTACCTTTTATTATTATTATTATTATTATTATTATTATTATTATTATTATTACTGGGTTGAGAGAACTCTGAAAATCCAAGTTCACATTTGGTTCATATAATATACAGAATAGAAAGAGGTGCTTTAGTGGAATCTAAGTGAAATAACGTTGAGTGGATACATGTATTATCCTGTCACCTTACGCTAAATTTGTCTTGTGGTGTATTGTAATGAAATACACTGCATGAAAAATTTACTTCGAACTGAAAATTCACTGGAAAGGAAAAACAACCCCTTACTAAAATACATTGCTCAATGCTGCCATCTATAGGACAGTGAGAGACGGCTTAGATAATAAATGGGTAAAGTGCATTTCAAAAGAGGGCTGAAATAATGATTCATTGAAAACATTACCAGAGCCATTTTGATACCATAAATACAGTTAGGACTGAAGAAGTTAAAATTTTACATGTCATAGTTGCACTTTTGAGCAATGTCGACAATTAACTTTAAAATGTAAATAATGGTCTATGTATGACACTATCAGGATTCAAAATTTTTAATATATATATATATATATATATATATATATATATATCACTATGCATTCAAAATTTATAAATTTTTACATATATTCCCAACAGCTTGAGTTGAGGTAAGGTGCCACTCATCATTTGAAAATTACAAAGCATTTTTATATCAAAACAGATGTTTTTAAAAGAAAAATGAGTCGCTGGAAAAGCTGCCTAAATATTGGTATCTCAATTAATTTTGGCAATTTAGAACAATGCTTGAGGGAAAATCAAGACTTAGGTTTTTTTAACTGAAGTTCTATTTTTCAAAATATCTTAATAATAAGTATTTGAATGCATCCTCTACAAGGTAATATGAAATATATACAATGAAGCAGTTTCTTACATCTTTGATGGGGTAATGAGAGATACAAAATAAAGATAATTGATGTCTAAAGATGTTTGTGTGTGTTAAATATCAACTAATTAGCAGATGGAGAGCATGTGTATGCAATAACTAAAGAAATGTTTATGGAGGAGCAGAACCTTAAGCTTGAACTCTAAGGGTGGCTATAACTCGGACAAGTGATGATCAAATTTTTTTTTTTTTTTTTTTTGCCCATTCGAGGTTTTTGAAGCACCTACTGTGTGTTAGACATCAGGAGAGGCTTCAAGGATTTAGGTGTCTAAGACATGATCCTGCACACAGGTGGAAGATGAATAAACACAGGGTGAATGAAATCGCATAGCAATCAATTCCTTTCTAACTTAAAAATCATCAGTCACAGACTGGAAGTCTAGAAGATGCCTCTTCCCTTAATAACTTTGTTTTCTCTTATAATTAAAATCCTTCATCCATTTAGATTGGAAAAAAACTTTGTAAAGAAGAACTAAAAAATGAGCTGCAAAGTCACTTTGGCTTAAGAATCTGCAAGATCAGGATCCCTCAGACCTGAGGATCTTAATGCAGGTCCTGATTCAGAGGTTGGAGGGCAGGCTGAACAGATGTGTTGTTTGCACACACAAGGTGAATCTTATTTCTGCACCACCCTTAGGTAGCAAAGTTCTAATAATGGATGATTAAGTGTGAGGCATAATATGGTACTGTGAAATGCAAGTAGGGCATTTACTTTTCAGTGTTATCAATACATTCGAAGGGGACAACAGCAGTAAAAATTCCATTTAACTGAGAGATCATTGCATTTGGAGCTTCTGTCTTTTCAACCACTGGTATCAAGAAAACTCAAAACTAATGCAGGATTTCAGAAAGACAGTTTCAAAGCATTTGTATTTTGATATAAATAAAGTATAGAATCAACGGATGGATGAGGTTGAAAAAAAGGAGGAGGTGAAAATGCCATGCCACTGTTTAATTTTCTCATTTCAGAATTTTACTGATTGGCGATTTGGGTTTGGGGGGTAGGTATTGGTGATTCTGATAGACTTGCTTTTTTGTTTTTTTCCTTATTTGTTTTAATTTAATTCATCAGCTATTATCTTCTCATTTTCTTTTACAGTTTTTTTTGCTATGGACTGGAGCTTATCATTATCTTGGATAATGCCATTCACTCTTTTGGTCAGTTAATCAAGGGAAATAATCCTCAGCCATTTCTTATATTCAAAGAGCCAACATTTTATCTAGATATATATGCCAGAAGGGTTTACAGACTTTATAACACCTCTTGTTAATTCTGCCCAGTTCTTCATCTTAAATTTGTCTTTTTAATTGCAGTACATTCAGTCTAAAACTTGATAACCAAGAAAGTCTT